TCAGTCCTTGAGATCTCTGTCACGTTGCTATCGATGGGGAATAAATAGCCCTGACTGACTATGCTGTGCAGAGACCTATCTGCCAGGCAAGGTTTGTTAAGGTCCCAGTCCCAGTGCCCGAAAGTACCAAAGCTATATAAGACCTTTTCAAAGAAGCCTGAAACTCTGCTGCGCTGGGGACTTCACGTCCAGGGGCAGGCCCCTAAAAAGTTTTGCTGATGGTTACAGGCTTCATGCTGTGGCTGGATGAACCAGTTGGTGCAGTGACAGTTGGTTGGGCATGGAAGAAAGCTGTAAGCCATCCTTGTCTGGGCAGATCTAGTCATCTTCTTCACTCTGCTGCATTCGGGGCGGGGGGAGGCCTGAAACACCTGCTGGTGACAAGTGTGGCTACTAGAAGGGCAGACGTTTGGACAATCGCCAGATCCAAGGCAACGTACTTTACATTGTTTTGGGAAGATCCAAGGCACCCCACAGAGCTGGAAGCTCAAGGCATTGCAGCTGCTCGTCTTTTGCTATCATTTCCTCCTGGTGAAGACAGATAAGCAATGAAGGAAGGAGACTTTTCTTCTGTGTTACTGATTTCTTTCAGCTGGACCCCCTCCCCATATGACTGCCTGTTAAAATAAGGCCCCGTATCATGTTTCCACAGTGTACGAAATAAGGCAGGATGTCTTGTTTTAACAAAAGATGCCTCTTGTTACAAAATGAGTGGTTTTCTGGTGATAAGCACAAGCAAGGGAAGCAACAGCAAATAAGAAGGACCTATGGAAACAATTTTTTTAAGAGGAGAGCAGATTGCATTAAATATCAGAGCCAGGGTGAGGCCAAGAGCTACAGGTGACGAGGTTTGGGGATTTTGCAGGGCTAACCTGAAAAGACCTCTGCTTTCTGCCAGGTGTTTGGTAAAATTGCGCTGAACGATACCACAGAAATCAACCGCAACAACAACTTCCAGACCTTCCCCCAGGCAGTGCTGCTGCTTTTCAGGTGGGTGTCTGACAGCTCTGGATTGTGTCAGTCTGGGAGCATGATTCCTCTGCTCTTGGGCACAGCTTATCTCCTTCTACCGTGTCATGCTCATGAGGTGAGTAGAAATACATTGTCCTTTAGCGGGGGAGCCTAGGAGATATGTCAGTTGAAACGACCAGTCTGTTAAGCCTTGTACCCTGCCAGCTGACACTGGCCAACACTCGTGCTGGGGAAGGAGGCAAGTCCTCCTACTCAGAAGGAAGACAGACAGTTTTCAGTGCTTTCAAATGTTGACATGCATCAAAAACTCCTCCTTTAGTTCAACTCTAGCCAGTACGATTTACAGATTATTTTAGCAGGGGAAAGGGACATGAACTCCCACTCATGCTTTGGCATGGCCATACCCAGCTCAGCTTAGCACATCATCCTGCTCCAGCTGTGGCCAGGTGTGCCAGGGCTAGGGAGGGGTGCTGAAGGGATGGGGAGTTGGCATGAATTCAACACTCTCTCCTCATTTTCAAGGAGTTTTTTCATGCAATCCATAGCCATATCACACACATCTTGACGACTCTGGCTGGTTGATGCATGACAGCCCCGTACCCAGACTAGCCAAAGCCAGTCAGGAACAACACACTGATGATGGCAACAAAGGCAAAAAAAAAAAAGGAGCAGGGCATCCAGTGCATGTCAAAGCCCGGCCATCAGCCTAACTTGCTCTCATTTGACCTCAGTGACAAAATTCCCTTAATGTTCATGGGAGCAGGAATAAGTTGCTAATGTGCCGGTCCCTCTCACATCGAAGGTCACTGCTGTCTTCCCTTGCCCTTTGCCATGCCCAGGTGTGCCACCGGTGAGGCCTGGCAGGAAATCATGCTGGCATGTCTCCCAGACAAGAAGTGCGACCCAGAGTCGGAGCCGGCCAACTCCACCGAAGCCGATCACTCCTGTGGCAGCAGCTTTGCCGTCTTCTATTTTATCAGCTTCTACATGCTCTGTGCCTTCCTGGTGAGTCTGCCCCAGCAACCAAAACCTGCCCTCTGTCAGACCAAGCCCCCGCCTCCCCAGACATCGGCACTGCACAGCAGAAGAATGATCTCAAAGAGGGGAAATCTCCCCATGGGGTCTTTCCCAGCAGCACCCCTTCAGTGACAACAACTCCTTGGTCACTGACATTCCTGCCACCCTCCAGCTACGCAGGATGCTCTGCTTCCAATCCCAAGCCTTTGTGCACAGCAAAGGAGTGCTCTTCCCCCCTCCCCCTCAATGAGAAAACCAAATTAGCGTGTTGTGGGCTGTGCTGAGGCTAGCAACGCCTCAGCCACACTTCCCACCTTCCCTCCTACCTTCCTTCTGGCTGCTGAGCAGGTTTTTCCTCCCCTGCCAGCAGCAATGACTGTGAGAATACACATATCCCACTTGCATCTGCTCCATGTTGGCAATGCGGCATTGCTCAGAGCGACAGCACATGCTCTGCAGCTGGCATCAGTGCGCAAAACTCTCCCAGTGAACAGCAGCAACATATTAAAAGCTTTGGTCTTGGGCCAAAAGAAAGGACTTTTATCTCAGCCCCACTACCTATAGAGGATAAATCTCAGGTTCTCCCACCACTACCCCGTTCTGCCAGGCAAAGACACAAGCAAATAAAAAGCCATCACAGCATGGCTAAGCATTCAGCAAACTTGGGCCTCACCCATTTAGCAGTGAAGAGAAAAATGTGACCAGCTGAGAATATCCTGCCCCTGGGATCTTCCCATTTAATCTGAGGGGCTGGCCTGGGGCAACAGAGAAGCCACCCCCAATGGCTTCCTAGTCCAGACCTTAAATGGAGGACTCAGTAAAGTCTGCTGCTACTTGCCTCATCCATCAAGTCATCTCTGTCCTTGTTTGCAGATCATCAATCTTTTTGTAGCTGTTATAATGGATAACTTTGATTACCTGACACGGGACTGGTCCATTTTAGGACCGCACCACCTGGATGAGTTTAAAAGGATCTGGGCAGAGTATGACCCTGAAGCCAAGTAAGTAACCCAGCCTCCATATCAGAGCTGCTCGGAGAACAGGACCACTATTTTCTGTTCTCTAGACCCAGTGCAGTAAGTGCCATGTTCCTCCTGCAGGAGCACTTCTTTTTTTCTGCAAAAATCCTAAAATAGATACCTCCACAAAGTATTGCTGGTGAATCCATAAGCCAGCAGTGCAAGGAGACACATAAAAACCTCAGCATTAGGCTGCACTGTTACCTGGCAGGACATTGCTTCGCTTTCAGTCAGGGGAGATATAGACTGTTTAGGGAGGGGCAGCAGGAGACTGAGCAAAGAAGGTCTAGAGGGTCGGTTTATTGTTGCGTGTGTTTGGGATATTGAGCTGTGACTCTACTATTTGACTTTCTACTCACAGTAGAGCTGCTGTGCTCAAATCTCCGTTTTGTCTTATGTCATACAGGCCCATCGCAACCTGTACCTTCACGTGGCTGCGTTACGTTGTCTGCAGGGCTGCTCACATCAGCAGACCCGCAGAGATTTAGAGTCACACAGAACAACTCACGCAAGGGCTTAACTGACGTTCAGTATTACATGCTCTGTTTGACACATGCTTAGGCTTAAAGTGCGTTTAGATCCCTGTGGCATTTACAGTGCAGTTGACAACTGTAATTGCAAAGTCCCCTTCATAATGCAAAAACTGTGGAAAGAGATCTTGGTGTAAACTAAAAGCAGATAGATCTCTTTAGGAGACATAGTGTCAAGATTAATTTGGGCTCAGGTTCTGCAATATGTGAGGCCGTGTCTCATTATCAGTCACACGTAAATTGAAACCCTTCTTCCCAGACATAGTGACTTCCCAGAGAGACTTTTAATATGGATAGGGGATAAGCACAGACTTCTAATAAATACAGTTTGTTAACAAAGCAGATGCTACTATTTGTGCTTGTTTGAAGGCAAGACTGCAGTGGCTGAAGCCATATAATAGGTAGCTGCTCAGTCCAAATGACATCCTGTTCCTTCCCATCTGTAAATGGGAAGCTCTTTTTTTTTCCCTCTTCCCCACCCATGTCCCATGCTTGAAGCCCCACCTCTGGCTCTGGTTGCTCTCCAACCCCCAATGAGAGAATTCTTCTTTTGAGATGCCATTTACAGAACTTAAAAGAAACCCAACTGCTGCTGTGGAGGAAGCTCAGCACTTTGTTTTGCACCGGCTTCAGTGACAGCCCAAAGCATAAACAAATATCAAAGGACAGTGGCTTAGAGCTATTTATATAGGAGATGAAGCACCAAGAAAAAAAAAGAGACCTTTTGCACCTCTACGCCTGCTATAGCCCTAAGACCAACAAGTAAATAAGCAGCTGTAGATTTTCAGCAGGTCAGCAGTGGGGGGACAACCCCGAATTGTCTGTTCAAAACAACGCGGTCAGTTCTTGCAAGTGTTGAGTTGTGTACGACCAACAGCTGGGGTTTCTGTACTAGTAGGAGTTGTATGAGTGCTGGGCAAATCCTGAGGAACCCACCGCATGCAAGAGGCCTGAAATAATGCCTTAAGCTACGCCTGGGCTGCAGGGAGAGGCAAC